TTTAAACTTATAATGATTTTTCGAAGTTTACTTTACTGTAGAGACCTCTATAATGAACTATTTAGATAGGTTTATATATAACGAATTTGGATTTTATTGTTTTTTATTTATTTATTTTAACACATAGATATTGGTACAAGGAGGCACCAAATACACATGCACTACACAGATCTCATTTGGTATGTGTGAGGGCTGTGATACTGTCCGGATGCTCAAACAGAAGCAGGTGGTTTTCTTAAGGGCCACATCCAGAGCTTTCGACCTGAAGGTCTGATCCACAACGCAGTGGGGAAACGTAAGGAGATGCATTCCATGGTAGCCGGTGACCAACGATTGGTTCATACGCCATTTGTTCCTTCAAAATACTGGAGACCATGTTCACCATTGGTTTGGAATCAGGGTTTTCCAACTCCCCTAGGTGAACTCTCCATGTCCACCAACCCGGTTAAAGCACCAAATGTTCGCTTTTCGTCTTCACACCCTCGTAAACAACATCCCCGCCACGTGAAGGCAGTGAGTAGGACTTCCCTGGCAGAGGCTATATACGCGTGGCCATGTGAGAGCATTTCGAGAGGGAGAGTTGACTCTCCCCACTCTCGGCGGTACCAGGGCATTTTGGGGCTGGATTTTATTGAATATATACTATCACGGCATTATATTTATAGATAAGAATGGGTTTACATGTACGTATCCCAGTAACAGCGGAAATATACAAAAAAAGAGTACAAAAGGATGTATATATTACCGCATACAAGAATTCGAACTGCGTATATAGATAATAGTTGACTTATTCATGTATATATGCAAATCTAACGGTAAAAAAACTGAAAAATAAAGCTTTTAAAAAGTAGTTTCAATTGCAAACTGGATTTCACTAGAAAACTATAGGAACTCTAGTTTGAAACTCTCCAGTATTGGTCACCAACAACACTTTTGATCATGTAATCTTTAGATCAACATAACACTAATAGTTTTTTAAAAAACTATTTATAGTGTGTTACAGGTTATCGTGAACAATTCTTGGGTTTGTACTGTTTTTGCTTCATCGAATCTAGAATATGGTGCATAATAGTCCGATTTTTCTTACCAGGTTCAATAAATATTGTTCTATTGCAAATTCAGGAAAATTTGTCTCAAATACACTTTAATTGATTAGTCCAAATCTATTTAAAAATGTACACGAAGAAACTATCGTATTTTGGTTAATTGACCAAAAACTAATCAATGTTTGATAATATATCAACTTGTCTTTGATGCTAGGTGGTTGGAAGTAGTTGAAAGATAAACCTGTATGACCTAGGTTCTATGTTAGTTGGCAGTCATCTTATAAGCTTGCATGTGAATTTAAAAGAACTAATATTCTCTACAGAATTGAAACGCAAATCACTCAGTTTCACAATCTGATATATTAACACCAAGTTATTCGGGCAGAGACTGACTTAGATATTCTTACAGCTAAGTGATCATAGTAGTAACAAATATCAGTCCTTAATGTTCATCAGATTCTATAAGTGAAGTTACAATATTGCTACTAACCTAAGTGACTCAACATGATATGCTATATAGTTTGATATGAGTTGGTTGGAAATGGTCGGTAGACTTTCACAATCGTGTACATTTAATTTCTAGCTATACACTATAATCTATCGAGAACAAAATTGTAAACATTCAAAAAGTGAATTTGCAACACCAATTGATATATATTGTTACGTATACCTGAATATCGACTACCACGACACTCAATGCTGACTAGTGTTGGAGAGAGCTAGAATAACGTTATGGGGCAGCCAAACCAAAATGTAGCATCAGTGCTTGAAGTCACTAACTTCTAGTCTTAACCATGTTGGTAGATACAGACTACTTGGTTGAGGTCCGCGTAACTAACGTAACCAATGGTTAGAGATTCTGGGTGATATGGACCAGAATCGATCACAATTGCGTAGGTGTATATATAACTTCGTATACAAATGGTTCGACTAAAAGTCAGTCCTTCAGGGCATACTAACCATCTTAAATAACACCCAGAAATATGTTACTTGTACAATACACAAAATCTTAAGTTACATTCTTTTAGTATATATACACACACACGGAGAGAGAGAGACAGAAGATAAATACTTGTAGGTGTATCTATGCATGAAATTGAGACAAACAATGTAAAACTTATAAAAGGTAAAATAATTTATATGTGTAAAAGCCAAGAATAAAGTTAAGAATGGGGAAAAAAACAAAAGAAAGAACTAACTTCTGTTATTTTTCCATTATTAATAATTTATGATATATGATCAAAAGAATCTACTTCCATTATATTGATTATATGAATTGTCTATTCATATATATGCAAGAATGTAATATAGGTATGTTGACTTGGTATTTTAAAAAGAAGATTGATTAGTAGTATAATAACAATGAAAGGGATTGTGAATTTAAAATATTTCTGACGTAAAATAATATTGGCAGAGAAAAAAAAAGAGAAGAATTACTAAATTCTAGAGTACTTAACAGTTATGATTGTTGTTCAAATGCAAAATATAATGCATAATTTAAACCTTGTCCTGGATTAGTTAGTAATTATCCTATCCTATCAAAAAGGCTTCCAACGAAAATCAAAAAAAGTAATTTTTTGATTGAGATCATGAACTGATTGATGTTAGACCATCATGGAAAACCTGGAAGCACTGGACGACTGTTTCGTCCCATTGTTGGACTCCACAGCAGTGCACATCCAAGATTCCATTCACGAGATTCCAACCCAGAACCTTTAGCCTTGCACGCACACTGAGCCGGCATCCAACAGTGTTAATGTTTAACCTCAACTAATCCACGTAACTGCACGAACATGTTCCATTGTCTAAGATAGATACCTGTCTCTACCTGACATGGATTAAATCCACTGGTCACAGCTTCTCATAAGAACTCTGAAAATCCCCCCCCCACGAAGTTAGTCACTAGTGAGCAGATGGTAATTATCAGTATAGGATTGTGGAGATTATTAAGTTTTTAACTGAGTTTATGAACCCATTGATGTTAAAACACCATAGGATGAAACGGCCGTCCAATGCTTCCAGGTTTTCAATGGTGGTCAAACACCAACCAGTTCATGATCTCAATCAAAAACTTAATAATTTCCACAACCTTATGCTGAAAAAAATTATTAGCTATATTTTATAACCAATGGATACTGGTTAGTTTCTGAAGATTAGTTATTAACACTGAAAGTTTCGGATACATGATTTGTAAAGCAAATCTAGGCATTACGGGTAACTTCTTAGTTATCTACAATTTTCCACTGACCAATCAATTGATTTCTAAATCAATTCATGACATAACAATAATTGATTTTCTGAGTAGAACCAATAGTACAACAATCAGTCGATATGCTTTTGATAGTAAACTACTGAATAAATTAAGTTCGGTAACATGGAAGAAACTAGCTACGATAAAAACAAGAACTGACATGGAGTGAATTATTTTAATTTATAGTCCAAGTATTATTACACTTCAAAGAACTGATGACAAATTGGTTGATGAGGTAGTGAGTCTTCATGGATTGAAATGATTAGGACATGCACTGAATATGGCCAAGTACCAAATGACTGAAAGGAAGATGTTGTTTAGTGTAGTGATACGTTGGGAGAAAGCTACAGACTGCCAAATCGAGACAACGTATAATTGCATGAAATTTTTAACAATTACACTGGGAGCCTTGTAAACAGGTGCAGACTACCTGGTTTGGGTCTTCACAACAAACGTAACGAATACCTCAAGACGTTTGGTAAAATATTTCAAAATTAGTCTCAATGATGTAGATACATAATCTCTGTTTTTAGGTTCTAAATTTCTAAATTATCTTAGTTTTTTATTTCACGAACCAATAGTTTTTTCTATAATCATACATTCCATACTTAATTACTTTTATAACTACTGGTACTGTTACCAATTCTACCACACTGGTATTTGTTTTAATAGTTTCAGCGCACTGTACTAATGTGGTTTAGCAACTTGAATTGATGTACACAATGGATATGACTGACTGACTGACTTTAAAAAGTGATCGGTATCTCAGTATAACTAGGAAATTTATTTATTTATTTTAACACATAGATATTGGTACAAGCAGGCAACAAATACATACGCCCCACACAAATCTCATTCGATATGTGTGAGGGCTGTGATACTGCCCGGCTGCCCAAACAGAAGCAAGTAGTTTTCTTAGGGGGCCACATCCGCAGTGGAGCAACGTAAGGAGATGCATTCTCATGGTAGCCGGTGACCAACGATTGGTTCATACGCCATTTGTTCCTTCAGGATACTGAAGCCCATGTGCACCATTGGTTTGGAATCAGGGTTTTCCAACTCCCCTAGGTGGACTCTCAATGTCCACCAACCCGGTTAAAGCGCCGGATATTCGCTTTTTGTCCTCTCAATTTTGTAAACAACACGCCTGCCACGAGAAGGCAGTGAGTAAGACTTCCCTGGCAGAGGCTATATACGCGTAGCCATGTGAGAGCATTTTGAGAAGTAGAGCGGACTCTCCTTACTCTCGGCCGTACGAGGGCATCCAGGGGTATAACTTAGGGTTTTATTGAAACCAATTGAGAACAAAAATAGATCAAAACTATAAATCAACACAAATAATATGAGCAGTATTATGTCTCATCAATATTATAATGTAGCTCAATAACAGGCTACCTGTGTAGGAGGGTATCATAAGCTAGGTTTTACTGACCATGCTTCTTTAAAACCTAGTGCGAAGTTAATCTTATCTGATTTAAAAAGGACAGCGCCTATTTATAACCAACACATCGGTAAATTTTACTGTACATTGTTAATATTTTTGTGGGATCAAAATTCATTTGACTTAAAAAATTAACAATAAATTCAGTGGCGTCCTTCTAAACTATTAAAATTCCATACTGAAATGTGGACACAGTTTAAAGGTTACGGCTGTCACACATTAAAAAAAATATATTATAATGTATCACCCAATAGGTGCTTACATGACCACTTCTTCGTAAGTGAATAAGTGACTGTGCATAATCGTTTAATTCATCGCATAAATGGATTATTGCTTTACTATTTGAACTTGTTTGATTTAAATTGGCTAAATTTCTTGCTGAATTCAAAACTTGATTCAGTGCTTTCTCACCAGCTGTCATTGCAACGGAACACTAACATATGAGAAAATAAACAAGAGATTTGAAAAAGAATGAGACTGAACAACATATACACAGAGAAAGAGAGTTCTTATTCGCCTACATTATTCTGTGAAGATATTGGTGTGATAAATTCACCCTTAAGTCACACTACCTTACAATTAGCTGCTCCAATTTTTATGTACCCATCTCAATCCAAAAATAAATACAGATACACTGGTTAAATAAAAGACGTGCTGCCTACAATTCTTTGTAGGATTAATATACAACTTTAATTTATTTAAATGACTCTCCAACCATGTTTTTTTTTAGAGATTTTCCTTGGTGATTTTAGGATACTCAAAACCAAACTGATATCCAAAGGTCGTTAGATAAGTCGTGTGACGATTATACATCGGGTTGGACAGTGTGATTATCAGGAATTGTAGCAATTTCTCAAAAATCAAGCAAACACGTTAGTCTAATCATGTTAACGACTTCATTTGCTTGGCTTTGGTCACCTAGTCAAACGGCTAACAAGTAGCTTAGATTGTAAGCAACTGCTAGTTAAGATGGTTCTGTATTACGTAAAGAAAAATAACATTTATTCTTGTCTATAAAACAAGAACGTTTTCGACAGGGTGCGAAAAACAATTAATTAATAATATAACATTCTATGTACGAACCTCTCTAATTTGTTAGAGATAATAATTCAAACAGCCTCTCTAAAACTTAATAGGTCAAAAGATTTAAAATCTGTTAACAGATGCTTTTTAAACCGGGCTGTAAATTTTCAGGTTTCGAGTACTTTATTCACGTACAGAATATCAGTGGCTTGGACAAAAGATAGAAAACCACCTAAAACAATAATCTAAAAGTCACTGGCAACAAGTAATTTATTATTCTTATTTAATTTTACCCAAACAAATATCAATTATTAAACTGAGCTTAATCAAAGGGATTTACAGTTCAACACAATTAGACATTCTGCTCTTTAAAGAAGAGGGGTGAGGTAGTTAAATATGTTAAATGATAAAGGTATTCAACGAGTAAAAATCAGTTCTTTTATCCGTTCATTTTAAAATTATTCAACTGTTTAACTTCGTTTTCCCATGTTAAACTATGATTTTAACGTCAGAACCATCTGGACATCCTAGAATGATTGTGAAGCATAGAACAGAATATTTAAGAGCGGTGACAAAGACATTCAGGCACGCGAACCTGCTTCAGTTTGGGCGTTCGGGTAATATTCCAGTCCTTACAAGTATCGAATGATTCGCGGCGCGTATATATTTGGTGCCTTCTTGTACCAATGTTCATGTGTTTAAATCGATATGTAAATGTGAGAAATCCGAAAGCTAAGTTGTAGATCTAAATGTTACATCAACATGGGTTTTGGCAGCTGAATAGTATCTTCAGCCGTCATACACAAAAATGTGACGCGAAGTCCAGTGCATAAACCCTATACTTGATAAGCAGCAAGAACAAACGATTTGGTAGGTCTTGATATCAGAAAATTGTAATTGTTAGCTTATTTTCTCTCTCTAGTTTGTTGATTTGCAGTATCCACATTGGATTAAAGTAACCAAAATAATACTGAATTATATTAAGGTGTGTTATCTAGCATCTACTATCAACCTGTCTCAACAAGAAGTACTACTAATGCAAAAGCTGAGTTACAGAAGGATGACATTTCAAAAGTGAAAAATACCCAGTAGTATAAAGCTATTTTTGTAAAGACCGAGCAATAAAATACAGTTATGCACCAAGCTGTATAATTCCGATTACTAAGTGTGCTACACAAAAGTAGGTAGGAAATTGAGTGACTCTCATCAACTGAAACATATCTGTATAACTTACAAAACTTGTTTCCTAAAATATTAAACTGGGATTATGCATCACAGTTCGAATTTTCAAAAGTACTAATATATATTAACTATTACCAAAAAATATTCTACAAGTATCTTATATCACGTCGATAAACAAAAAATACGAACAACTTACATTCGAATCAGAAATCCAGTCACTGACAAACTGTAGACGGCTATCAAAAGCTGCTTTATTCATATGCATAGCCGCTAAGTCATCATCGAATAACTCTGATGAATCCGTTTCGGTAAGCTGTAAGCCACGTATAATTTCATGTATTTCACTGGACATTTCAGACAACAAGAAGTCTCGGTTTGCTTGACTTTCAGCAGCTCCAGGTAGATCTGTATAAAACATGTGTAACTAGCTTAAACATTGCACACGACGGCATATTGGGCGCGAAATAGATAAAGTATGAAATAACTAACAGTGAACTCGATAAAGAGTAAGTTGTGAGAATCTGACTGACCATTTAAAACAGGAATTAAATTTACAACCAATATGCTACATATCACCATAGGATATATTCTTACTAAATATTTGATAGGGGTTTAATAAGAAATACTCTTAACATATCCGAAGATTGACAGTTATGCGAAGATTATTTAACCATCAAGATATCAACACAAACTAAATCTGAGCTCATGTGAACATAAGCAATTCAAATAGGCATTATTCATAAACTATGTGGAACACATGTTCATTGACCACTAATTTTTAGTGATGTATATGAACGTAATCATGGTTAAAGTAGCTACATATATAACCAGACCTAATCGACAATGGATAACAGGATAGTACACAAATTTCACTTCTACAAAGGACCTTACAACTTCAGAAGAATTGAAAAACATTTTGAGATATTTAACTTACGATTTTGATGCGTATTTACGTGCAGTTTCAAAGACGATATTAAAATAGGCGTAAGACGTTTCACTTGTTCTATACCCCTGAGAAGCAGGGCAGAGTGAGACTGAATAGTCAATTCTTCCTGTCGATTGTCTACTTCTTTAATCATATCCGCCATACAAGGGGTTAGTCGCTGTACAACATTCAAGATTTAACAAGTAATTACCTTAACAAAATCAGCCAGACCAGTGAGACTTGAAACATGTTCCGCAGTGGCTAGGACACTAAGTACTCGTCTGCAGTGTCTGATGATTTTTCGTACTTCAGACATATCAAAGGTAAGAAGCACAGATGATGTTCCCTGTAGTATACCTGGAGAAAATATGAACAAAATATATTACCTCTAGATCCTTCGATCAGTTTTCTTCGTGCTTCTGAAGAGTTCGGGTCGTTTTGCAACAGTACGACAGCATCCTGAAGATAAAAAGATGCATCTTCAACACGCTTGAGTGAAGGCGGCATATCTCTCTGTAGCAGCTGGTCATCACTAGCCTCGATTGTTTGGTGACCAACCTTTTGTAATGGTTAAAATAAGTTTATGCTAACCTTTATAAGGTTCTCAACTGCAAGTTTTACAACATTTACGCGAAATTCCAGATCAGGAATCTCTGTACCTGATCCAGCATCCTCAAACAGCAATATTAGCTTTAAAACCTTTCAAATTGTGTGACTAAGCTAACGCGGAAAATACCTGTTGAGCAACTGGGCTGAGGATACGTTCTATTGATTTCGTATGAAACGACATCACGAAAACAAGGTAACGTTTACATCTAAATGAAGCAGACTCCGAACGTTCAATCGTTGAGCGCTAGAAAAAAACATCACTTGGAGTTTGAAGATAATGTGTGGTAGTCAGAGTTACTGAATTGACTAGTCACATTTTAGAAGTTCCATTTGTGTTTTAGGCAGCAAGTATGTCTTGTTATCATAAACATTAACACAAAGCCATAAGGTCTATAGTGCGGCCTTAAATATCTATTTAGATGATCATTTTCGGTTCCAGTTTAGAATTGACAGGAAGCTAGGTGATCTCCGTTAGTTCTCGCACTATGGTCTTTCAGTTGATCCAACGTTTTGAGAGAGTCGACAGAAGGAGCTTCAAACACCTGTTGATGAGACTAATTCGACTCGTCGATGATTCAATGGGAATGTCGATTTTCAGCTGACAAGCAGTTTGTTCTAGGCTTGTGAACCTTTTGAGAGCACCCTCGCAAATCCTCCGTTTCAAACGACAAGAAAAATGGGGGCATATTGGATGCACGTTTATACGAAATAATTTGAAAACTGTAATCAAGTCACCTCTAGTTCTTCGATATTACAACAGGAATAAGTTCAGTTTACCCAATCGAACATCATAGGAAAGCTCTGCTTTTCCAAAAATCAACTTGTTTTCTGTTTTCTGAACCTTTTACAAAGGCTCACTGTTCATTTTGTAAGTACAGGGTAGCCGCTTGTATGCAGTAATCAATTTTAGAACTCACGAATATGGTAAGCAAAGTCAGTAAAAAGTTGTAGCGGCGACATGGATAAAAGCCCTACATAGTGACCATGGTGTCATAAAACCCTTGATGGGTGTTGTACTGCAGTGCGTAGTAGTTTTTAAGTCTTCGATAACGATGACTTGCATGTTCTTGTGTTTCTGGACAACAGGTAGCTTAATGTTATTCGTCTTGTATGTATCTCAACGTTGATGACCAATATGCATAACAATGAATTCGGAAGTATTATCCAGCAACTCCCAAGCTTGAGACCATTCAGATAATTTCTCCAGGTCATTTTGAAGCTTAATTCAATTTTGGTTTGAGCTTCTAACTCTGTAAATTCTTTGGGTTTCAACTATCTTGGAGGTTGATTAGAATTCCATTTTTACCGACGACAATTAAACTGTGATTAGGGGGAACCAGTGATTATATTTCAATCATGCTTAAGTATGGATACGTTTTTCTAAATAATAACTACAGGAGTAATAATCATTTTTTATGACCTTCCCCCAAATTGCCATATAAATCATTCACTTCACTAATAAGACTATACTGGAAATACCTGTATGTCAGGCTGGACAAGTTTGGATGATCATTCATTATGTTGTTAGTACTAATAGATTTATTTGATAGCTCTGGCCTTTTGATACTGAAGATACGCAGCTAAATCGTTTCAGTTATCCCCGTTGTGGGTTATTACTTACAGTTGTATAATATATGGGCAAAAATTTTATGCTTGTTTCAATCAAGTTCAACCATTTGGTCTGCCTTTACAACGGTGAAACACGTTCACAAGGCTATCAGAACTGGTCTCCCGTCAACAAACTTTGTCAGTATCGTTCATATTCATGATTGACATTACTAATTTGAGTTCGGAAATCATCATTTTCATAAATTATCGCTTTTAAACGTCTGTACTGATTATTAAACCATCATGAGTTTTCGCCAAACTGTTGGTTTAGTTATTGCATAGTATCATTTAATAGCGGCTTCGTGAATTCGGAGGTAGGACAAGATTACATTACATATCCAACTCAGTATGACTTAGTTTTCAAATAAGTCATCTGGCTTTCTATCCATCGTCTTACCTAGGAAAATCAAATATAAATTATTATCATGCCGTCTGCACTCTGCGTCAGATGTAACATTTGAACCGAGATTATAGCTGATTTCAGCAATGTTGTTATAGTGTGAACGACATGGAATCAGCGTGTTGGACGATGCTGTAGATGTGTTCTAGTTTTCACCATCCAGATCTGCTGAGGCAATATAATTGTTCTGATTTGTTGAAATTCTTTCTCCATTCCATTACCAGCGCTAATTAATAAGTACGTGTTCTGTACTAACTGCCCACTACTTTGACTTCACCACTGAGAACAGACCTATTATTATTATTCACAAACACCTTATGGGTACATAAGTGTTGTGAAGAAACCATTTCGGGTGTCTTCAAAAAATGCAATAATTCACAATTTTCATTAATGTTGGCATTATACTTGCCATATTTAAAAAATATAAAGTAAAAACAAAAGAATATTAATAATAATAAATCGGGTCTGTGTAATTGAGAAGATTAGTGAACTGGGATTAAAGAAGGCAATGGAGAAAATAAGGGAATAGAAATAAAGGAGACGTGAAATACGCAAATAATTTAATAGGCGTGTTTATGAACACAGAACAAAAATAAACGACCATGTAACTTATTATCGCAGTAAGATATGACGCTAGAATAAATGTTTGTGCAGTTATAGTTCGGAGTGATGCTATGAAAGTCTCAACTAAGTGAAAAGGATAACGAAATATCAATATGTATGAGTCATATATGCATGGTGAAGATAGAACGGTCTGAAAAGTTAATTTAAATATAACACAAGTTATTGTCTTAATTACAAACGTCGTAATTTTAAGAAGAATATTTATTTAAAAGGAAAAAGGAGAGAGAAAAGAAGTGGACACCTGATGAAAAGGTTCATCCATGATAAGAATAATAATTGTGTAATGAATATGGACTTCAGAAGTCAACCTGCGATTGAGAAAAATAAAATAAAAATCCTCTAGTGCACTCGGATGAATACATTTACATATATGTAATAGTATGCAGAGTGAAACCGGATATTAGTATAAATATTTGTGCAATAATAATTAGGAATGATGCTATGAAAGTCACAATTGATTTCAAAGGACAATCTGGGGTTAAATATGTTTGGAAGGATAAGAGATAAAAATAATATCCTCTTCTTGCTCCTCCCCCAATGACTGGAATGAAATATCAGTTTTGCACATGTAACATTTTTCTTGTTGACACAATGTTGCAGTTGGAATATCGATGTCCTCCTAGAGAATAAAATACAATGTGATCAAATATCTCCAATCGCCGAACTATAATTAGTGAACAAACAGTGATACGGAAATCCTTTATTTCAACTATTACAGCAATTCCATCCACTTATACATCAATACTGGTATAATGTCAATTACAAATCTCTAAAACAGCATTAATAACACCAAATTTCTCCCTGATTTTGTCAGATATTCTCACTGACTGGAATTCAAACGCGAACCGAGACACGATAAAACTAAGAACAAGCCACAGGACGGAATGTTAGAGTGACCAGACACGGTCTATGGTTTCAACGCCTTAGGTCCCCTGACACCTACTATAAGCAATCGATTGTTTATCAATCAAAAACATAAAAACCTTCAAAATGGGTACTTGCAACTAATAAAATCATGTATAGCATTTTTTTAAAAATTCGATTAATGACGTTCACACTGTAAAATACAGCGTAATAATTTCAATCTTATCTATAATAATTTATTTTTCATTAGTCGCAAATGAACGTTCCACATTGAGTACGTTATTGTAAAACAGTCAGCTCTCAATCTAAGCCTCACTTCTTAGTAACGATTATATGGCAAGGAGTTTGGCCTAGAGCACCACAAAACCATTACTTTACGACGATAAACCTCGAAGATCCAATTACAGTAAGATAAATTACTCGAATCTGGCGGGTGATTTACATATTTCATGGTGCACAGGTGTCTGCAAAACCATCAATGGGTGTGGACTTGATGATTTGACGAGATAATATAGCATTGTTTTGGCGAACTTTTGATGTAGTAATTCTTTACGAATCTTGTTCAAGTTTTGAGAGTTCAATATTTTCTTGCTTCAATTAAGTGTAAACTGTTCTATATGAGAAAAGTAGATTTTCATTTAATGTGACAGTTTTGTTCTCCCTGACAATTCAGGTTAACTGCATTTAATATGTATATTTTCACAGTCATAGTACGTAATCCTACCTCAGTTTGGTACTATGAAGCTTGAGCGAAACTGGGAATTGTTGTTGTCCTTATTTACAGTCTAAGTAGTAACATCGAGGAGTCACAGCTCTTCTGATATCCAAGAAAAAGCAGTAAGACTGTTGATTTCGCATAACACTGACGATCTCCTTAGATATAATAGCTGTCTATCCATCTACAACATTGGCAAGAGGTCCAAATTTATCAGCTTCGATATCAATATATTCAACCACTACCTTGGCTCGTACAGTATTCCGAACGATTTACCTATAATGATCAGTAACCTTAGTGTTACGTCCTTGATATGTCTACCCACTCTTGGTGCTGAGGATAATTATCTAATCCAGATAAAGACTTTGACGCGATAGGCTGACCGACCTAGCCTTGGGGCTAGTACGCATGCGTTCGAAGTGGGGCAGAGAGAAGAAAACTATTCTATCATCTGATTGGCTGACGAGCACGCGAATGAGAGAAGACAAGACAACTGGTAAACTACTCGATCTATCCCCGATATCCTGATAAATAAATAGGTGACTAACCTGACCACAACGTACAACAATTGGGAGAAATACAATTATGTCCAAAGCCGAGAATCAGAGTAGAATATGAAGTACAAAATATTATGTTTAAATTACAATAGCTTCGGAACAAAAAAAGGCATGGCAATGAATCATACTTCGAACGAAAGCATATGTTCTGTAGAATACATTAGGAACAAAAATAAATGTCAGTGTTTTACAAGGTTTTCACAAAGTGGAATAACGTCCCGAAAAATGGCTTTCGTACTTTGCCAGGGCTTCTTGTTTACCTGTTCACATCACTTAGTAAGAAAAACCCTTGAATGCGACAAACTGTAGGATGACGTCATACAGTCAGCATAATTGAAACAGACGATCGACCTCGCTAGTAGTATCCGAATATGACCCAAGATAACAATGGAAGATAGATCTAACCTTCAGAT